AATGTGCATATTATATTCCACCACATTTTGCTAAATTTTAGGTTCACTACGAACAAGAAACGTAGGTTCTGGATACTCCTCAATAATTGACTGACCTAAGGTGATCAGAATCCGACGCAACACTGCCTCTCCTATGCATTAGAAGGAATTACAAGTGACTGAACAGACTTGTCTCACGTTGAAGCACACAACCATACGGTCCTACTACAAGCAACAATCGCTACGGGAAGATCTTTCAGATGGATTACAGAAAGTTGACCTTTCTTGGGCTTTAGATCGAGCAGAGGGACGAAAGTACCCAAAGTACACCGATGTCATCAGGAGAGGAAGCGAACACACTTGAGTGAAAAAGTCATCTGTTGAAAATGTCCCACTCACCCGATCGCCTAAAATTACTAAACTCGGTGTTATCTACCTAATTTTATGTTTAAAACCAAGTACAGAACAAAGCATTTGAAATGTTGACTAGCATCCCACATTGAACTGACTCTCCTGAGAAGTTCACAACTATGTAAACACAAACTGAGAGAATGAAGTTTTACGCGAGGTAGGACTTAATTCACCAGTGAAGCTGTCGTTGATAACGGGTGCGTTAAAATAAGCTCTATAGCAAAGTAGACCTAACAGAATTAAACGTCAGTCTCTGACTGGGCACTCACCACTTTCATGGCAATAACCATTTTCTCGTCGTACAGGTTCAAGCTGACCGTACAGCCAGTGCCTACAAAAGAAACGAAGGAATCCTGAGGCCAGGAGGGAGAAACTCTACCTGGGACCAGTCACAAAATGAGCAAACAAGCACAACGCGTGAAACGGTCATTCAGCAACTGTTTTTAGATGCAGTTTCGCTACCACTGCTTCTAAATTTCCGGGCCAGCATATGTCGAATTACCCGTCGTTTATCACAACCTAAATTAGATAGGTGGGAACACAGAGTAGTCCCCCATTGAAGAGACGCCTCCTCGAACATGAGGGTTACAAGGTCCACGCTGGTGTGCCCCAAAAAACGAGACCTAACACAGAATTCCATCGGCAGAGGCTGTCTTTTCCCGCATGGGGAAGAATAGAGCTGTAATCAAAGAACTGAGTGAGAAAGATGCGAACCAATTAGTCGACCACATGGATCAAAGTCCCGCCGAAAATAGTTACTGCGGTTACATGCATGCTACGTTATGCTATGCCACATTGCATACCATGTAAAAACGAATCAACAGATTTGATTCGTCAGCTTTTCCACCGGTCGGTTAACTTCTTTGAACTAGATGTACTCAGGAGCGTTTTTATCTATTTAATCAAGTAATGAAAAGAGAAGACTAAGCGAACAGCTGTTTTCAACGGTTCACTTTCTGGACGGAACAGACCAGGTATAGGGCCAGACGTAATAATAGTGAAGCAGTTACGGCGAGGCGGAAAAAAACCTGCTACTCAGGACAGAAGTCACTTAACATATATCTAATTGTCTGGGATATGCGTGAGATATAGCCCGGGGAGTGTCTGTTTTATCTTCAGACCAGAGACACTGAGATGGATCAATTAGATGGTTCACTTCTGCACACAAATTTCGGGTGTGGGGAGTCGGGCAGTGATTGCTTCGTCAATCGTGAGGCTACGCAATATGGCTGCTTTGAATCGGGCACGTCAATTCGAAGTGGACGTTCTGCGTTCTATGTTGACGAAAACTTTTGTAAGGATGTATTTCGACTAGTCGGCTAAATGCTATGTTCTCCCGTCTTTGAACTATAAAGCACTGTTTCTCTGAGATGGGCTAAATGGGCAATATGCTGGAAAAAATCTGAACTGCACTGTGAATTACCAGAAGTTCTAGAGGTGGTCAATGATTCTCCACGTTTTTATGAAGGAAACTACTCACAAGGTTGCTGAAGACTCTTCGACAACCCACGACCCGTTTCGCCCTTCTTGGGACTCATCAGGTAGGCGCAGTCCTCGAGTTTCCGTCAGCCTTATGTTCTACTTGAACCCAAACTGGACTGTTTTCGAGCAGTACACTAATTTACAAACCAATCTGGTTTTCAAGAGAGACTCAATTGAATCTCTCGTTCATGATATTCTACAACTGAATGTGCAGCACAAAGACCACTCCGTGTTCCAGTTGGTACGATCTTTGAGATGTCGCAGTATATTTTCATAAAGGAAACTACTCCACGTCGTTAATTCAGAATTTTCATAAAAAAATCGATAGTGTTCGCCAACTTGCACAGACACCATCAGTCACACGACCGCACAGAGTACTGAAATAGCAACTGCTCATGTGGCTTAACAAGGTTCCTGGTTGTCCATGACTCTACCACGTGTACTTTGAAGTGATGTGCATACCAAAGAGTGTTGAGGGTGTTCCACTTAATCGTTCTAACCTAGGATAGGGTGGACGTTCTTTTCGTACCGCCATAGTGTCCTCGGTCATGAGAGGTCATGCGAAGTCGAGACACCGAACAAAATCTGTGTAATGCAGAATACAGCCATCTACCCTGTGGAGTACGAAAGCCAGTAGTGGTACGAAATATACTCTGATAAACGGGGGATTTATCTGCCTCTGCTGCTGAACTGAGTAAACAAGCTTTGGGGGTCGTGACGGTTAACTTTTCTGGGTCTCCAGTTTACAAGTTTTTCTTATCGACAGATGTAACATCTCAGCTGATGGAAACGTGAAACGAAAGAAAGAAACGCTCAGATGTAGCACCCTTCAGGTGCTTAACTACCATGCTACCCGAAGGAAGCAGAGGGCTGGGATACTGCCAGGTTGCCCAAGCCTAGACAGGGGAAATTGAGTCAGAGTTCAGATTCGAACCACAGACCTTCCGGTCAGCAAATTCGCGCTCTAACCAATTGGGACATCTCGCCCAACATCAAGAAAACAGGAATGGCGTTTACCAATCCGATATACCTATGTCGAACGGTTCCGTGAACAAGATAAGCGACAACTGTCCGCAAACAACGAATGTCGTCGGGTTGGGGAAGAAACGAATGCCAAGATGATTCTTGTTTGCCAAATCAAATTGAGGAGAATCATCGCTCGGATCAACCATTAAGGTGGAGACGATACAAGAGAAACTGCGCCATCAGACGGATCTCGGTTCGATGGTCTCGACTGCCTGACTGATCGGATAATAGCACAAAATTCAACTCAGAAGTAATGGTATTGTTCATTTATATATATATATATATATATATATATATATATATATAAACTACAGGAAA